GCTGTTTTTCAGCAGCAGGGACTGAGGGACTCGTCAGAGTAGAAGAAAAGCTCAATGCACCAAAATATTGTCCAGAGCATTCAGAACCTCAGACTGGGCAGAAGGCTCACCTTCCAATAGGACAATGACCCTAAGCACACAGCAAGAGTGGCTTATAGACAACTCTGTGAATGTCCTCGAGTGGCCCAGCCACAGCCTGAGCTTGAACCCAATCAAATAATTCTGGAGAAACTTGAAAATGTGCATTTGCTCCCATCCAACCTGACAGAGCTTGAGAGGTGAAGAGGTGAGGAGAAAAATGGCAGATAATTGCCAAATGATGATGATCAAAGCTTGTCGCATCAAACAAAAAAAGACTTGAGACTGTAAAGGTGCTTCAGCAAAATATTTAGTTAAGGGTATGAATACTTATGCAATGTACTTATTTCAGTTTATTTTTATTTTTAATAAATGTACGAAGTTGTGACAATTCTGTTTTTGCTTTGTCAGTATGGTGTATGGAGTGTAGATTGATGTGGAAAAAAGTAATGTAAAGCAGTTTAACAAGGCAGCAACATAATAAAATGTGAAAAAATTAATGGGGTATGAATACTTTCAAGGCACTGTATATGTATATGTGTACATTTTTTAATAGATAACGTGCACAATATATACACAAAAAAAAACAAGAGCTGTCACCCAATCATTATTTTAATTCTTATTTTTCATTTAATTCACACTCGAAGACACGGCTCAGGCATTCGGTGTGGTGGTGTTTCACTGCAGACACATGTTCCACAAGGAGTGTCTGCCGTCCCCTGGGAACGTAAGTCTTCTGTAATCTTTACATATAACTGCTTTTTAAAGGTGAAGTATTTTTTGTAATCCACCTTAATATGCAAAAACAACTAGAAGACTGTATTTTGTATTTCTAAGATAAGTTGCACTATCCAAATCCATTTAGCTAGCATTCTAATTGCTCAACCAATGGCATTTATTAATGCTAGAGATGCAGAAATGACACACTTCACATTTGAACCAGCCTGCTGCATTCTTAGAAAAGGAGAAATTTTAATTTTGCTTCTGCACTATTACCGTTTTTCATTTTATGTTCTTTGGCAGGTCCCAGGAATACAGTATTGTAACATCTGCAGTGCAAAGCGGAGAGGACCAGGCAGTGGCATACTGGAGATGAAGAAATAATCATTCCTCCTAGTAGAATAACAGTTATACAATTACCACTCACTCATCAGAACCTGTCAAAAATTAATCAATCTTAAAATAATCTTTCCTTTACTAACAGTATTTATTAATGCAAGCTTGTGATTGCTAGATTTTGTTTCATAAAAGCACCAATAAAGCACTCATATAATCTGTTGAAGTCTTTTGCCACAATGTTCCAAACAAAACATGTAGTGCATCGTCACTTTTTTTTCCCTCAAATCTTTCTTTCCATTAAGTTTTTAAATTTTGATTACTAATTATATTTTTGAATGGTTTGTATGAACAGACACCATCTGGAAAATGTTTCAGTGTCATTCAGATGAATGCAAAATGTATGTTTTTGTAAGGCTGAACTTTACTGATAAGTCACATACCGCAATCATACAGCAAAATAATTCAGCTAAATGTATTACCACAAAACCGTAGTTTAGTACACCACCCTCAACTGCTCGAAGAAAAGCATAAAAACAACCTAATGCAAGCTTGTGATTGCTAGATTTTGTTTCATAAAAGCACCAATAAAGCACTCATATAATCTGTTGAAGTCTTTTGCCACAATGTTCCAAACAAAACATGTAGTGCATCGTCACTTTTTTTTCCCTCAAATCTTTCTTTCCATTAAGTTTTTAAATTTTGATTACTAATTATATTTTTGAATGGTTTGTATGAACAGACACCATCTGGAAAATGTTTCAGTGTCATTCAGATGAATGCAAAATGTATGTTTTTGTAAGGCTGAACTTTACTGATAAGTCACATACCGCAATCATACAGCAAAATAATTCAGCTAAATGTATTACCACAAAACCGTAGTTTAGTACACCACCCTCAACTGCTCGAAGAAAAGCATAAAAACAACCCAGCTGTATCTGTCCAGTCAAAAAAAAAACAAAAACATGGTGAATGAGGAGTTTAAAGTCCAAACAGAATAGCTAGATTGTTATTTGCACATTGTAAACAAAATCGCATCTACATAAGCTAGAACTCATTTGACACGACCAACTATTCATAGCAATGACTGCAGCACCTTCTACAGACCACAGCTGCAAAAATACACATCAAACCACAAACATGATATGAGATTAGAAAGGTTAAGCTTTAATAATGGTTTGTCAATCATGGAATCAAATAAAATGAGGAGAGGAACAGGGATGAAAGGGTTAAAGGGACATTGTTAGAGAAAATCCATTATTCGCAATATGTTGACAAACTAGCGCAGAACTACATTCTCACAGAGGGATACGGAGGTGGTTTTTACTCCTCAGAGTGGTAAGAATCAAATCAAGCAGGCTTTACCTGCAAAACGACCAGGAAGTGCCTTCCAGAATGCTATTTTAACACATTCTCTAAATATATATATATATTTCTCTCCCATCACTTTCATATTTTTTTCCCCACAGTAAGGCCACTTTAAAAAGTAAATTTGAAGACTCAATGCCTCTGTCAACAGATCTTGCAAAATGGGGAGGGAAAAAAAAATTGAATTTTCAAGGTTACAGTTAAAACGTTGAGCTGCTCCTCTTTGGCCAGACTGGTGTTAATTCCTGCAGCCAATCAGAGCCCAGGACCTGGTCGACATTGTAACCACAGTTACTTACTGAGGTAGCCTCCACTCTCTAGTGCCCAAACCAAAAACTCCCAGCGTTCTGTCATCACAATGTAAGTACAAAAAAATCCAATGGTTTGGGAGTTATACTGATGTAGTGAAGAAAAAAAATAAATAAAAACCCTCAGCAGATGTTGGTTTGTTTAATTCTCACCCAATGTCTTGAACTCCATCCTCAAAGTGGCTTTTCTCATTTTCTCAGGGTTGGCCGATGTCCAGTGGCTCTGCCGGCCAACCACCCCCATGAGGAAATCAACCGTAAGAAACATTTGATGCCTTGTTCGTTTGATGCAGTGTCATTCATCTTGGTGAACGGTGTCGTATAAAGCAGAATTTGAAATATCAGTCAGTTCCTGTTGCTGCAGCCCGTTTGAATGCAGTTGATAAGGGAGGGCCTTTATCAGCCGTGTCCATGTGTGTATGAGAGGATTTTGATGGCTAAATGGGTCAAAATATGTTCATTTCTGGGTGTTGCTTGACAGAGGTCTAATGGGATGTTTATGTATTGTTGTGTGCGAGTGTGTGTGTGTGCATGTGTTGGTTGTGTGTGTGAAAATGGGCACAGACGTCTCCAGCTCAGTCAGGACTGCATCAGACAGCTGCAGGACATTTTCCCCCAACGAGTCTTACTGTACCATTGGTGGTAGGCTTGGGGGGGGAGAGGGAGATGGCTTTTACTTGTCCCCCAGGATGGCATACTGATTATCTAACTGTAGATGCTGCATGGAGCCTGGGCCTTCCCCTTCTCTGACCCGGCTCCTGTGCTTGACCACCTCGAAGGTCTTCTCCATCTCTCGGTCCCTGCAACAAAATATCCACCAGTATGCAGGATTGGTTATGCTCAAAATGGAATACTAGCAACTGTATAGTATGTACAGGTGCATCTCAATAAATTAGAATGTCATGGAAAAGTTCATTTATTTCAGTAATTCAACTCAAATTATGAAACTCGTGTATTAAATAAATTCAATGCACACAGTTTTGTTAAATGTGAGCCAAAATCATCACAATTAAAAGAACCAAAGACTTAAACTACTTCAGTCTGTGTGCATTGAATTTATTTAATACACGAGTTTCACAATTTGAGTTGAATTACTGAAATAAATGAACTTTTCCACGACATTCTAATTTATTGAGATGCACCTGTATATATTTTAAACCAGGGGTCTTCCACTAAAATTGCTTGAGGTCCAGTAAAGAACCCTCCTCACCAGCCGAGGTACGGACAATTATATACCTAAAAACATGAATTGATGGTTTTTGCCAGACCAGGGTATCTGCAGGATTTGAAATCTTAAATTTAATGCTTTAGGACCTTTTTTAATATCTGCACAAATAAAATTAAAATGAATGTAAAAAGCATGATTTAGAGTTCAGATACAGGTTTTCACACACACAAAAAAAAGTTTGATAAAATGATAAACTTCACATTTCAGTCTTTAAACCATTTTTTTAAGAAAATGGAATCAAAAGTTTTAATTATTATATTAATTTAATTAATATAATAATTATTTGATAATAATTGTTTAAATAACAAATATATTTTACCGTCTTAATTGTTTACATTTTTATAATGCATTATCTTCTTGTCGATCCACTAGTTCACATTTACAACTCACATGGGTTGATTTTCACATTGGTCAGTCTGAACAAAAACAGCAGGGCTTAATGAAAATGTAAATTCAATCTCTGCCAGCAGGTGGCGCTTTTGGAACGGCAGAAATATAGCGGTTTCCCTGGTAAGGGCAGTACACAAAGCAGCAGCTGAATTTTAAATGTGCAGGGCTCATATTTATTCAATAAAATAATAGCCTTTTGAAGTTTAATCGTTACATTCTATCCCCAAATTGAGGGCCTCCTGAAATCATAACTAAGAATATCTTGTACCATTTAAGACTTTAAAGGGGTCATATGATGCGATTTCAATTTTTCCTTTCTCTTTGGAGTGTTACAAGCTCTTGGTGCATAGGGGGTGTCACATGTGGTTGCCGCAAGCCCTCCGGACGCTCCTTCGTCGAATCCGCCGGCCGCCCCGTTCTCAAGCCCGCCCGCCTCTGCTCACTCAAGCCGGCCTCCGGCCTCCGCTCACTCAAGGTGGTGTGTGACGCTTTTTCATTGTGAAAGCGAAACTACGTTGTTTGGCCTTCCAAAAGAGGACACGACTAGAAATCAGTGGTTAAGTTGTATTTACAACACTGTTCCAGAACAATTCAACCCAAATATTCAGATGTGTGCAGCGCATTTTATGGAGGACTGTTTCCTGATCCTGGTAGAGTAGACTACAATGCCGGCTGTTCTGACTCGCAGACTATAAGTACGTTTTTATATTTAAAGAATTTGCCACTGACGACTCAAACGCGAGTTTTTTGGGCAGTGTAGAGTAGCACTTGTTGTTTGTCATTTCTCCGATCACAAATGCAGACATGGTTTTATGTTACACTCCGGCCGGCCAGGGCATCACAATATGGTAAGGGGCGTAACATTTCGGTCACACGCTTGAGGTATTCGGCCAATCACAACGCACTGGATAGCTGACCAATCAGAGCACACCTCGCTTTTTCAGACCGATGAGCTTTGTAAAAATCGACACGTTTCAGAAAGGCGGGGCATAGAGGAGAAACAATAATGTACAGTATGTGGAAAATAATTTGTTTTTTGAACCTTAAACCGCATAAACACATTTCATTACACCAAACACACAAAATAATGTTATTTTTAGCAGCATCATATGACCCCTTTAAGGACCCGTCAACTTCACTAATTTTTGAGAACCCAATTGTTTTTCACTCACTGAAAGTTTCATCTGTGTGAGTGCAGCTCTCTGCTCTCTTCATTGCACAAACAACTGCACCTAAACGGCTCGACTGAGCTGACCTTGATGTGCTTGATATAAATTTGATTTTATTAGAAATTAGCATTTGGCATTTATTTATTTCATTATGTCAAAACCTTTGCGGTCCGCATGGATGCATCTTAAACAAGTATTTCAAATAGAATGCAAAAATAAGTGTTTCAAATGGTAGGTAACTACAAGACAATGTGAATAAATTTCTAATTAGTTTCTGCTTCATGTAGTGTTATCTTCCTTATGAAAACTAGATGAAAACTTTTATTAATAACAATTAAACATAACATAACTGGTATAACTAAAACTACACCAAAATACATTTTTTACTAAATGCACATTTTCAAGACCCAAAATCTAAAGGTAATTTTACGTTTTGAAAAATGGCATACTTTTTACACTCCTGCATTAATCGCATAACACTAAAATGGCTCATCCAATCAGAAATTTCAGAACTATACATTTTATAATGCACATTTGGGCAGTTTGGCTATTTTAGTATTATTTGTGTACTATTATAGTACTTATTATTTTGAATCAGCTTGTTTTTTTTTTGTTTTTTTTTAAGTTTAGTAATTTTGTCATTTATATTAAGTTTTTATTTCCGTTTTAGCTTTAGTCATTTTAGTACTTATTTTATTTCAGATAGTTGCCAAGGCAAAATTTTTACATTACATTTAAGTTTTTCTCTTAGGTTTTCATATTTAAGCTTAATTTCTATTCACAAAATTCATTTGTAATTATTTTAGTAAACAAAACACTATTATTCCATGCACAGAGAAAATCTGCACAGTACAAATACTGCGGAAATCGCAGCACATCAGTATGGCATTCCTAACATATTCCGTGTATGAGGAAAATCGAGTAAGGAAGCTAAAGGTACATCTGATTAAGCAATGAACAGTACAGACTTTTAGAAGAGCTCAGTCACTTACTTGCGAGTCTCCACGTGTCTGGCGGTGGAGAGGAGAGAGGGAAACTGGGTGTCGTTGAAGATTTCTGGAGGCCCTTGAGTTGGGCCTCTCTTGGTAGAGGTTAACCGGGCCCCTGGGGGACGATACACGCCAGGTGCTTTGGGCTCAGGAACCTCAACTTCCTCTACTAACAGGAAATGAGACAGATCAGTGTTTAAAAACTAATCTCAACTAATACTTTCATTAGTTGGCTATTTATACTAACACTGCCGACTCACCCGAAGCAGCTGAAGGGGGGGCGCTTGATTTATTCCAGGGTCCAGAGACTTTATCACCAGTGACCAGGATGATCTCACCATCCTCGCCCACTTCCTCCTTCTCGTATTCTTCCTCCTCCTTCTCATCACTATCAGACAGACGAAAAATTGTGTACTTCAATAGAGATACGCTGTAACATGCATGAATTCAAATAAACTCTTTGCTTTGATAAACGTTCTAATATATGAATAAAATTTGTAACCCTGTTTAAGCGATTCCAAATTAGTTTTTACCATTTCTACAATTTGTACAGGGTTTGCATTTTTCAATGACAAGAGTATTGTAATTTGCAATTCCTTTATTTCTGAAGCAGATTTATTATACGTGACAGCATTAAAGTTTCTTAATCCATATGATTCATCTTAAGACATAACTGACTGTTCAAATTAAAGGTGCAGTAGGAGATCTTGGAAAATACTACCTTTAGAACGAGCGTTTTAATTGGACGAACATTTCTTGGTTCTGTGCCTTCCACAGAATATATAAATACATATAAATACATTTAGACCACTTAACTTAATGATTGCTATCGGGATGTGAAGAGACTTTCAACCAGCATAACAAAAAATGTTTCTGAAGACAATCACCTATTGCACCTTTAATGCTTCATAAAAGCATTTTGAGATTTAAGAAGTGAGTGTGCATCTCAATCAGTGCCAATCCTAGACTTCGGGGGCCCTACGCAAAACTGTGTCGGCGGCGGCGTTGGGGGGTTGAGTGGGGTATATGAGTGGTTATGAACGAATTAATGAAACGCATTTGTCCGTGTTTCACTCCGTCTCGAATCACGTTCGCGGAAAACGCTTGAGAAACAGTGTCTCTTTCGCAGCTCGGTATGCTTTCAAATTTTTTTTTAGTCTCGAGCAAGACTGTACGACATTTACGTTACATGATTTGACTGATTTTTACGTAGAAAGAGCGACAGCGCACCGCATTAAAAGAAATGATCATTCATGTTTTCATAACCGCTGGCCAAATTCAAAAACGAAACTAAAATTAAATCATCTTTGAGAGCAAGGGGGCCACCTGGTGTTTCGGGGGCCCTCTGCAGCTTGCGTATAGGGAGGATCGGCTCTGATCTCGATGCATCAAAGCCACCTGCATAAAAGATGGTGAGAATTAATGCACGACTATTCCATCACGAATAAATCTCTCAATTAGTAAAACGAGTGTCTATTAAGCCTTGCACAATTTTCAGCTGTCCCAGATGAAAGATTGACATCGTGAAACAATCATGGCGATTTCTGTGATAGTGGCTCCTAATCAGTGCTCATGTCGTACAGTGAGAGAGGTTCAAAGACAGCCGTTATCACGGTCTTGCGACCAAAGATAGCCTACGATCATTTTCTGACGATCACGTGTCATAAATTTAGCATCGAACAGTGTTTGCTGGTACGATCCAAGTTTACTGAGCCAATAAAAATGAGACATGAAAATCAACGCGACATGGCGCTAAAACATAAAACTGCTCACATCAAGCTCTTATTCCCTCCTCTTTCACCGCTTCCACTTTTTTTTCAGCACACATAAAAATACAACTGTTATAGTGTGATTCATATGGTGCGTTCCAAACGGGATATATCGCCCTCCGAAGGGCACTTCGGAGTGAAAACAATCATGGCCGCCATAGTGAAGGGTTGTTCCAAACCGAAGTGCTCAAAACTGGCCACTTCAAAGGGCCCTTCAGAATGAAGGATTTCGAAGGGTACAACTGATGGACACTTCGGGCTCCCATGATCCTATGCGCAGATTCTTTGCATGATGACGGCGCCTCCATGTGGGCACGTGATGATGACGCAGAAGAGCACTTCAAGAAACAGTTGTTTGGTCCCCTACACCCTTCAACCCTTCGAAGCTCTCACTCCGGAGGGTAAACCCTTTGAAGGGATTAGGGCACAGGGATGAGCCCTTCCGAATGGAACGCAGGGAGATTGCACTTTTTGTTTAGCACTAGCGCATGCTGATGACGTTTTACTCTTCTATAGTAATGTGCGTCGCAGCGTACGGGTCAATTGGTGTTGGGTGCAACGTACAGTCTACATACGTCGCACCCAAGTTTATTAGATCCATGTCGCACATTGTGACATGCAATGATCTTATAGGATTGCTAAAACCGTGCCATGTGTAGAAGGCTTTATAGATTACGCAACATTTTAATGAATAAGGTACACTTAAAATTATACAGTCTAATCCTGTTTATGTGAAATAAGCCTGTTCCCGACCAGGTTTGAGCTTTTGGACCTGTTACTATGACAGCAGCTCCGAGATGAACAATCCTGGATCATGTCAAATCGCCAACAATAAAATCCAGCTAACTGGGTAATCCATGTATGAAAAACGGACCCCAGTAGCATCAAATTCATTAGATGCCAACTGTTTGTGCTTCACACCTCATCTGCAGGGCCTGGAGTCGGAGTCCGGTGTAGTCCACCTCCTTCTGCTCAAAGTCCTTCCATTCCTCATCCTCCTGGAGTGACAGTTTAAGAAAAGAGAGGTGACCCTTATATAGAGTATAAGTGTAGATTATAAATGTAATTTATAAATGAAGTTGTGTTATGTAAGCAGGGCTGGGCAAAAAATCGAATGCGATTTTCATGTGCATCTCGTCAGTAAAGCCGCTTCTGATGATTAGTAGTAAATCTCCAGCATGTGCTTTCAGATGGAGCGGCATTTACTGCACAGAGCCATAGATCATTGACAAGCTACACAAAATCGCGTTCAAAATCGCAGGCGATTCATTGCCGATTTTGGTAGCTTGTTTTTTGTTTTTTTTTAAACCCTTCACATAGTTCTCCTAATCAACTTTCAGAAACAGCACAGCAGTTAGTTTCACATCCAAAATTAACACTTAATTGTCTCAAATCAAGTCTTTTTCCCATTTTGTGTATGAATTGTGTAATGAAATTGAAAGAACAACAACTATGTAGGTGTTAAGCTCCATCTAATTATTTTCATAGAACTTCATTTTCTAGATTAGGTAGGAATACATTTCAACATTTTATTACTGTACAAATCTAACTTGCGCAGTTTTGTATTGTTTTTGTACAAGTTTAATCATTTTGAAAACAGTATGTAAATGTGTAAATTGGCCTGTAGGCACATAGAATTTTAGTGGAGTTTGTGTCTGAGTGAGAAAAAAAAAAACTCAAGTAATGAATTAAGTCACATCTGAATATATAAGAGTGTGCATTAAGCTACATGGAGGAACATATTGCTGTTTATTACTTTTTAAGTATGTTGCAGCCATGATTCAGTTCATAAAAACACATTTAGAACATGTCAATGTTAAACAACACTAATATTTTAACATTTACTACTCTAGGTTTATTTTTCACTCCATAAGCCACATCTTCTATAAACTCAAACGCTCTCAAATCAGCTCATTCAACAGTCCTCTGCTTGTGAGCTGCTTGCGTGTAAAATAACACAGTGCCACGATTCACTCTGAACCAAGCAGTGAATTTAATTAAACAACAGTATTTGTGATTCAATAATTGCAATAAGACATATTGTGATTTTGGTTTTATTTTGATTAATTGTGCAGCCCTAATATCTGGTGAAATTCTGGTGCAGATCTATTCACACTCCAATGGCAGGCTAACACTGTCTACAATCCAGTTGCACTTTAGAGAAGGATTCAGTTCAGAATTACAAACAAATAAAAAAAATGTTTAAAAAAAACTACAAACATGGTGGATATGTGAGACCATCAGTTAAGTGGAGATGTTTAGAGTGACTCATCAATATCGATCAATAAACTTAATGAAAAATATATAATACAAATATTTAGATATTAAAGGGGTCATATGATGCGATTTCAAGTTTTCCTTTCTCTTTGGAGTGTTACAAGCTGATTGTGCATAGATAACATCCCTGAAGTTGCAAAGACTAAAGTCTCAAAACCAAAGAGATATTATTTATCAAAGTTAAGACTCTGCCACACCCCCCTAAAACGGCTCGTTCTAACACGCCCCCCACATATCTACATCACTATGTGGAAATATTTGCATAATGCTGCCCAAATGTTCAAGCAAAGAAAGAAGGCGTGGTTTCAGCGGAAGGAGGGACTTTGTAGAAAACGAAGCGTTTGAGAGAGGCGGGGCATAGAGGACCTACAATAATGTACAGTATTTGAAAAATAATGTGTTTTTTGAACATTAAAGCATGTCAACATATTCTGTTACACCAAATACACAAAATAATGATCTTTAAAAAAAGCATCATATGACCCCTTTAAGAGAACTACATGGTGAATTTTAATAAAGACACATTTGGCCATTAATGCATCATTATGCAAAAACTTGCGCAGAGTTCTCCGCATGAAAAACCCATGACTGATCAGCAAGCTACTTCTTTCTTGCCAATATGGTACAAAAAATTGAGTAGCTTAAAGTAAATAAACTGAAATGTGTAGTGTGTATATAAGGATGTTCAAGGCGCAGTAAGCGATTTCTGAGAAACACATGAAATCACTGAAACAAACTCACCCCTACCAAAAAGGATCCTACCCCTATCTTGATAGCTCTGCCCCCAAATTCATAAACATGCTATGCAACATAGGCTCCTCCCCCATCCCGAGTGGACACGCCCCTTAATGGTGATTGGCTTTTTTTTTTGCACTTTTAACTGTAACAATATGTTTGACGGGCTATTTTAAGGTTGCATGTAACTAAGTGACCATGCAGTCCTTTAAAGTCACAAAAAAGTATTCCGTTAAAGTATTGTGAAGTACATCCGAATTAAACAAGTTATCAAAAAGAAAAAATGTAGGGCAGGGGTTCTGTCTATCAGTTGCTGATTTCATTTGGAGGCAGATGAGATGAACATGAGCTTGCAGGGACAGGGGTTACTGTAAATGGACTAAATGACAGGAGTTTGCCAAAAGATAATCAGTCTTATTTTTCTGACTCAAATTAGACTAGGGCTGCACGATAAATCGCATGCGATATTTAATGCGCATCTTGTCAGAAAGCCGGTTCTGTAATCAGCGGTAAATCTCCATCACGTGCGTGCTTTCACATTGAGCAGCATTAACTACACAGAGCCGTTGTTCACCGACGAGCTGTGCAAAAAATCGCGCGAATATGAACGTGGTTTTGCTCAACTCGTCAGTGAACAACGGCTCTGTGTAGTTAATGCTGCTCAATGTGAAAGCACGCACGTGATGGAGATTTACCGCTGATTACAGAACCGGCTTTACTGATAAGATGCGCGTCCAATATCGCATGCGATTTATCGTGCAGCCCTAAATTAGACTAATCTACCTTTTTGTAACTGACCTTAAAACGTTATGACCAATATTGAAGAAAAATGTGCAATTATGACGTGGTAGTACATCGCAAAACATGCCTACTCTTCTGTTACACACTTAAAAGTATGTACTTTTTCTTCATAAAGGGATTACACACTTTTAGGGAACAGCATATTTAGGCGAACTGATGCAACGTGCAGGATTTAATTAAAGTGACCTGATGTCAACTGTAAAAGTACAATCATCATACAAAACTTGCGTTCATTAGCACATTGCTATTCTGTACTGTCTTACAAGAGAAACAAGCATATGGTGGAGGTGAAGGACACAGTTACAGCAGCAGTTATAAAACCCCTGCTGGAAGATTGATGCCCTTAGCAACGAATTTCAGTATGATGTCACATCACCCAACATACGTCACAACCAAATGCTACTTCTATTTAAGGGTAACATTAAAGGCATGGTTCACACAAAACTTACACTTCTGTCATCGTTTACACACCCTTGTGTTGCTCCATTGCCATATGAAATGTTAGGCTGTCAATATCTAATGTTCTGCCAAAAATCTGATTTTCTAGAGGAAAGAAAGTCAGGCAGGGTGAGTAACGTTAAATTATGACAATTTGATTGTAAAATTAACTATCAATTTAAGTAACGTAGCAGCTGTCAGAAACATAAACCGATGATAGCTACAGCACAATACCACATTAACTTTCTTTATGAAGATAAAAGAAAAATGTAACCTTTTATTAGTGTTATTTGCTTGTTGTCACAAAACTGAGTGAACTGCCTGCTTAGACCACATTGCGCTTTTAGAACGTTCACGCGCCCTTTGTAACGTTACCTACAAACGCTGTCTAGATAGGCAGCTCACTAGGTTTTGTGACACAGCCCGTGTGTTGTTTGACTGCGTTACCTTTTCTATCTGCGCGTCCTGATTCTCACTCTTCGTCGACTTCTCCTTCTCCCTTTTCGTCTTTTTCACCGCCATTACGGTTCCTCCAGCTCCTCCGGTCGCCTGCTCCTTCCCCTTGCCCTTCTCCTTCTTTTTCTTCTTGTCGCGCTTAGCGAAGAAGTCATCCAGACTCTTCTCCACGCCGGCCGGAGCCACATCCGCCATCTTATCCCCAAATTTCCTCCACTAAACACTAAAAAAAAGCTTAGAAATGATCAGATCAGTGTCTGAAGCGACAGCAAACGAGCCCTTGCGTGCGTGTCTGACAGGTAATCCGTATGTTTCATGTGTATCCGCAGGTTAAAGGTGTGCTGAGAGCAGCATGACAGACTCGCCAGCTGAAAGTGTGACACACACACACACTCGCCCAATGCACCGGATAGTGTTGCTTCCGATCTGACCCGGATGGGAAAGTGGCTTTGTGATTGACAGTTCTGCTATCCAATCGCTGAGCGACAATGTTAGTTTTCGACCAATCCTATCGCAGGGTGAGGATTCTGCAGTGCTTTTGCCAGATTGTGCAATTTTGTTCTACAATTCGTTGTTAGTAGTTATACAACACTTGTGAAGTAATTTAGTTAACAAATGAAAGAAAACTTATGTCTACTGATACATTTAGATATGCAGCTGTGCTAAAAACTGCACAGAAGAGGCAGAGTTGCAGAAATAATGTTAAATATTAATATAATATTAATATGTAATAAATGTTCATTTTTATTGTTTTAAACATGATATTTTGAATATAGAAACAATAGAATTATAAATAAAAACATTATATAAAGTACTTAGCTGGTTATTAACACAAAATAGCAAATATTTTATGAAAAACAATTTTTAATTCAAGAATCTGCCGTTAAATAACTTAACACATCTGGAAATTAAGGGTGGGCCCGTCAATGCCTTTAAGGTTTTTTTTTTTTTGTCTTGCTTAGGGCCCTTTATAAAAAGAAGGAACTGAAAAAGGATGTTGTTAAGATGAAATACTATTGGGAACGTAATGTTTTGCTGTGTAGCATAGGATTTTAATTTAATTTATTATTTAATTTTGTATTGGCATTTAGTTTTTTCATTGATTTATTTCTTTTTTTAAGGTGGAGCACACACAGCCAGCATAAAGTTTTATAGGCCAAAAATTGTATTATAGTATTGTTTTAGTATTTCTCAAATAACTCAAGACAGAATTTGCAAAACAAAGACTATAACACCTAACTGCCTTCTAGCATGCAGCAATGTGATTGAGAGGGTTTATAAAAAGACTACAAACATCTGTTGCCTTTTGAGAGACTGTGAATGAATGAACGTCCCAGTTGTGTGTCACACCGAACAGCATGTGAATAGAAACGCTTCATTCAGCATATACAGAGCAAACAGGGAAGATTCCAGAAACCTTTGACCCATTTAAATCAGGGGGGAAACATTGGCATGTGTGCTCCACTTTGCTTTTTTTTAACAGGCTTTGCTTTAAATATTGACAAAAATCAACTACAGACTGAAGAAGCCTTCAAAGCCTTTTTATTTGTATTGCTCAGCAGTAAATGTGCTACAAATGATCAGACATGATTCATAATATGCAAGAGCGATTTTTTTCTGTCAGCTGAGCAATTACCTCTCTCTCCTTAGATATCTAAAACTCATGCCAGCACAAAATAAATGGACGGAAACAATGAAAAAAAGAAGAAACGGAAAACATCAATCTACAAATTAATTTAAAACAATATTTATATAAAATCTGCTAAGCATACAGAAACAAATGGGATATGTAAAGAAAAGATGATGATATGGTCTTAAAACATGTTACCAACCTCAGTGACATGTGTTCAAAGAAAGTACAAAATAAAATAGGTTCTCTGTATGTATTTATATCTAACAATTACACTCTATTACATCCAGTGGTATCATTGACATTCATCTAAAAAAACGGTAAAACACAGCAGTAAGCACTGAGAATCAAAGAGAAATTCATTTTGGTCTCATTTATTCTCGTCAATGTTCACACAAGGGACAAAGATAGACAGACAGAACCACAAGCACACTCATTCACCCTTCACTAAGAAAAACATGTCTTCTAACAAAATATATATAGATTTAGCCAACCTGTTAAGCAATAATAGTGCCATTTTCATCAGAGCATGTCATAGCGAATAAACAAATATAGAGGTTTAATAATAATAATAAAAAAGAATGCATTTCCACTACAGTTATACAGTATAATGCTTAGCCCTGCTTATGGAAGTTGAACACAAACACGTACAACATGAACAGATATGATGTGAAATGTGGAGCACAGTAACATTACCATACAAAGGGCTTTGTATGAGGCATTTCATTGGCATTTAAGCAGTTTTCTACTTGCTTGTGCAACTGTGTTAACGCAAATGGAATTTTAGGTTGTTTTTAACAACAAAATATTGATAGAAACCAAATCCTGTTTGACATCTAGTCTAAAGACACACATACACCTCAAATCAGAAAAGAGGCATGCAACAAGACATATACACACACAAAAACATCTCGAACATCTAAAGAATGGGACAATTGTCGTTTTGTCTTTTGGCTGGTGACTCAACTAGGGACAAACCATCTCAGAAAGTCATGATTCATCCTCTATCAAATGCAAACAGGCAATCAACTCAATTTCCTCCATGAGGGAAGCGAGGGTTGCTGCAGTACCCACTGGACCCATTCCAAAAATGTTCCAGAATCAATGCCCTTTACCCCTGCATCCCCTTACATACAGAATTCAAGTGCGGCAGGCTTTTTTAAGTAATCATATTAAGTGTTTTGGGTAACGTCACACAAGCATCCTTACACCACGCGTCATGTTTCTCAGTACTCTGCACCACCAAAGCCACTGGAACATAAGAGCAACCACACTTATTGTTTTTATTCAAAAAAGACATAAAAACCCTTATCACAATGAAGCGTCTGTAGAAAATCCACATCAGAAAAATATGCAGGGGCTCCCCCTCATAGTAAATAGCATTTGTTCTGTTTTGTAATATTCTTTCAGCTCCTTGAAACCAGTTTCATATATAAACCGCAGTCTCTGAAGGTCCACCACATATATGTATATATATTTATTTATATATATATATATATTCTTAAAAAATGCGAGCAAATAAAAGGGACTGGAAAATCCTCAAGGATTTTGTCTCCTTTTAATATAGTGTGTTTAGATATCAGAAGCCTTGTCTCTGTTGATAAAGAGAGTCTCTTGGCAAAAGGGGTTAACCAGAACCACGCCGCTGTCGCTGTAGTCACCATTAGGGGGCAGACACGTCTCTTGTTCCTGAAACGCAAAGAAACATAAGAACATTAGCACTGTATACTTGCTTTCATGCTAACTAAAGGCTAATCACTTAAGGGCGTCTGATCCTACAAAGGTAAATACAGTTAAGGTGAAAGGAACAGGTTTTCTTCTCAGGATCTATGTTCTTATAGAACAAATGTGCATTTCTATGGTGTAGTGATTGAGCTCTATCACCATGGAGACTGCGTGTATGAAATGAATGGGAGGAAATGAAGGAAGAAGCAGAGAAAATTGCACCTGTCCAGGAAGACAACTAATTATAAGGCTCTAGATTCTAAAAGATGTTTTGTGTTTGGTCACACATATTAAATGGGAATTCTTATTCAAACATCAAAATGAATCCATCTATCCAACTTTCCATAAATCTATCTATCTAAAAACTTGTACGCTACAAAAAAGTGTTAGCAGGATAGGAAAAAATAGTCAACTGAAAACAATTACAAAGTAAAAACCGAGGACAAATAAATAAAGGCAGGTAATGATTTGTCTCTCTTGCTTCTCTAAAAGGGTGATTTGAAGACCTGTGGGTCACCGGCATCCCAAACATAATTCTTCTTCTTCTTCTTCTTCATCATCATCATCATCATCATCATCATCATAATCGCACTCCTGTCAGAAAAGGTCAGCAAGCAAGAACAAAAAGGTGGGAAAAAAAGAAGCATGCAGAGGTTGAAATGGAAAATATCAATGAATGGATGATGGTAACAATCTCACAAAATGACTAGAAAAACAAAATGACTAAAAGAAACTAGTGAGAAAGAGAGAGGTAAGGTCTCTGAGCACCAGGTGGTGATATATAACGTGAATGGTACCATTAAGTGATTTTTTTCAAGCACATTGTCTTAATTGCAATAATTACTGTTCATTCCATAATGATACCCCAGCAATGAAAAAGCTATGAATATCTATATTTATGCCATTCAGACAGATATCTTATTCAGTTGATGATTCGTAGAGTAAATCATATTAACAGCAAAGCCTTTTCTGTTCATAAAAGCATGGTGTTAAATCGAAGGTTAATTACTGTGAATGGTGAAGAACATTACTCAAAACTGCTAAAAAATCTCTAAGGCTACGTTTACACGACAACGATGTAGTCAAAAACGGAAAAGTTTTTCCCTTGCGTTTTTAAAAAGTTTCACGTATACACGACAACTTTTTCAAAACGATTCGCGTTTACACATATCCGCGAAAACCAGTAGCCCCTCACTGCAGAACACAAGATCCAGGGGGCGTGGTTGGATCC